TGGTATTAATGGTCAAAAAGAAAAAGCGCTTGGGGAAGTAATTGACTTACCAGTTACTTTAGGATCTGAATCAATCAAGATCAAAGCATTAGTAACCGTGAATGGTGACTATGATCTTATACTAGGAAATAATTGGGCTCACAATTATAAAGCAGTTATAAGCTGGACCAAAGGCCTATTACAATTTGAAAATCAAAAGAAACAAATTGAGATACCTATTACATGTTTAGAAAAGCACCATAAAACTGAAGAAGAAGATAATTTATATAATGTTGAAGAGGAAATAGAACTTAAAGTCTTTGATAATAATGGCAAAGGAAAGATACCAGAACGCGCTCATGAAACAGATGCTGGTTTTGATTTAAGATATCCAGAAACAGAAGAACTTGTCATCTCACCACAAGAAACTGTGATGATAGATTCATATATCGCAATTGAAGTGCCAAAAGGAACATTTTGTCAACTTACTTCTAGATCTTCTTGAGCACGTAAAGGAATAGAAGTAAAAGCTGGTACTGTAGATGCTGGGTACACTGGAAATATTAAAGTATTGATTCATAATAATTCTAGTCAGTCATATGCTATACAACCTGATGAGAAGATAGCACAAGCAATATTCTTACCACTGGTAAAGATCTCAAAAATTCATTCAGTATCAACTCGTGAAGAACTTGGAGATTCAGAAAGAGGTCAACAAGGTTTTGGTTCAACTGGTAGATTTAAAGAAAGAAAACCTTTAATAGAAGAAGAAAGTGAAGATGAGTATGAAGAAGATAATGGTATTGATCAACCACTTCTAAATATTCAAGAAAGTCTAGATGAACAAGTAAAAGCATTAGACTTACAAGTAAAAGAACATTATACTCAACTAGGCAAAGAAAAATTCTTTCATTCAACCTTTGAAGAATTAAAAAGAAATGAAGTTACTGGCTTAGATAAATGCCCCCATGCCAACAATTGCTTATCAACTGAATGTTATAAATGTAGTGAAGATGATTGGTATTATGAACAGATAAAATTAATACCAGAACCGCTCTATCAAGTTAATAAAGAAGAAAATACTGATGAAAATGATCTAACAATAGAACAGAGACAGCAATTAGAAGAATTATTAAATGAATATCAAGATCTTTTTGATGAAAAACCTGGAAAAACCACAATTATTCAACATGAAATCAACACAGAAACTGAGGAACCAATAGCTCTAAAGCCATATTATAGACGCTCACCTATTGAAAAAGAATTCATAGAAAAAGAAATTGAAAGAATGCTTGAACAAAATATTATTTCACCATCAGATAGTCCTTGGTCTGCACCTGTAGTAGTGGTCAAGAAAAAGAATGGCAAATATAGATTTTGTGTAGATTATCGCCAACTGAACAAAGTTACAAAAAGAGATCAATTTCCTTTACCTAGAATTGATGACCTACTTGACATATTTGGCAAAGCAAAATACTTCTCAACACTTGATCTAGCCTCTGGATATTGGCAAGTAGAAGTGAAACCAGAAGACAGAAAGAAAACAGCCTTTGTCACTACCAATGGCCTATATGAATTCAATGTGATGCCTTTTGGACTAAATAATGCACCAGCTACTTTTCAACGCTTAATGAACAAGATATTTAAGCCTTACCTTGGACAATTTGTAGTCATTTATCTTGATGACACTAATGTCTTTTCAGACACCTTTGAAAAGCATCTTACACATCTGAAACAAGTATTCAACAAGCTTAGAGAAAGTGATCTAAAACTTTAACCAAGTAAATGTCAATTTGGTAAAACCACACTCGTCTTTCTAGGACATATCATCAGCAAAGATGGTTTAAAGCCTGACCCAGCTAAAATTTTAGCAATAGAACAATTTCCTAGGCCAACAAACTTAACCATTTTAAGAGGATTTCTTGGCTTAGCCTCATATTATAGACGCTTTGTAAGAAACTTTGCAAAGATAGCAGCGCCTTTAAATCAATTAATGAGAAAAGATCAACCTTTTGAATGGTCTATTAAACATCAAGAAGCATTTGAAGAACTGAAAAATAGGTTAATTACTACACCTATATTGATCTATCCAGACTTTGAGAAGCCTTTCATATTATACACTGACGCTTCTAGTTTTGGTTTAGGAGCAGTTTTGGCACAAAAAGATGAAAAAGGCAATGAACATGTAGTCGCCTATGCTAGTAAAAGAATAAATGACACTGAGAAAAACTATTATGCAACTGAATTAGAATGTTTAGCAGTAGTTTGGGCAATACAACTATTCAGACCATACTTACATTCTAATATTCCTTTCACTCTGGTAACTGATCATAACGCTTTGAAGAGTTTATTTAATAAACCAAAAATTTCTGGAAGACTTGCACGCTGGATTTTGACTCTAGAGGACTATAACTTCAAAATTGAACACCGCAAAGGCAGAATTCATTCCAATGTAGACCCCTTATCTAGACACTTCCAACCAGAACCAACTTAGATACAAAAGAAACAAAGAAAACACATCATCAAACTCACTCAACAACTACTTGATACCCTCTTACCTGATTATCCAACTTGAACATAATGGAATTACTTGAATATTCACAACTCACTACTTATTTAGATACTCTAGTCATACCAGAAGAAATACCAGAAAAAGATCAACAAAAGTTCAAAAACAAAGCAAAGCTATACTTAGTAAAGAAAGGAATCTTATACAAACGCAATAAGAAAGAACCAGAACAGTCCTT